ATAATTTTTATATCAATCTTTTATTAATTTACATTTCTAAAAGTATTTGATATTTTGTGTTAATGAAATTTATTTTTAAATTAAAATAATGTTAAAGGAAATAGTGTAAAGAAATATTACTTAAGAATTTGCTCTCAATGAGTAAAAATTTTAGATCTATCTTTATATATATATATTTAGATATAAAAGCAACAGTTGCAGTAAAATAATTTGTAATGAGATGAGAAAATAATTATTAAAATGTTATATTAAAATTTGTATATGTAATAAAAATTTTAAATTATTTAATATTTATAAAATTATTAAATAATTGAAATTATTAAATTTTTTATGTCAAATAATATTTTGTTAATAAAATAATAAAAAATAATAGTAATTTATCATTTTTTCAATTTTGATTAATTATGTAGTTATTCATTTTTGGTTAAAATAATAATATAATATAATAAATTTTATTTTAAGTTCATAATATAATATTTATTTATTAATTTATTAAAAAGAAAATATATTTTTTCACAAAAGGAAGAAAGAAAAAAAAAAGAAAGAAAAATAATAATTTTTTAAAAAAATCTGATGTTATTTTATATTTCAAAAATAAATATTTTTATTTTTATTAAAAATGATATGAGGCAACCACTTGAATGCCACATGTGCTCCATGTGGATGTCACATGTACAGTTCCTTCAAATTTTGATGATGATGTGGTAAGATAACATGGCAAAAAATTGTCATGTATTACCATTTCATTGGATAGTAGCTACGTCAGTATGTTTACTTGACAGTGTTAACCCATGGTACCACATCGACACATGGATTGATGGTACGAGAGCTACACTGTATATTTTTAAAATACAAGCAGCACATTAAAAATTTTGATACAATAAATGGGTTGACCATGAAATTAACCCTTTTTGTAACTTTAATCAAAGTTTCCGACAACGCATGTGATGTTTAAAATTAATTAATATAATAATATTATTTCCCGCGTGTTGCTGCTACGTAGACTTGTTTATGGTTGGAAGATTCTTCCAAACCCAAAGTTCGCTCGGCAATTTAAAAGATTTGAATATTAATATTAAATTCGTTAAAAATTTAAAAAAATAAATAAGATTTGATCAAAAAAATAAAATTAGGTTTGAGTTTCATCGTTTGAGATTTAGATTCGATTTAATTGAACTCAAAAATTTTAAAAATATTTTTATTATAATGGAATAAGCTTCATTTATTTGATTTTTTATAATAGATAAAATGTATTTATTTTATTACTTATAATAAGATAATATTTAATTTTTTATATAAAATATTAAAATAATGATTTAATTTTAAATCACATTAAACAAAATTAAATTAAACTTAAATCAAATTACTCATAAATTTAATTAAAAATAATTAAATTAATAAATTACAAAAAAAATATAAAAAATTAATTTTTTAATTTTAAATATTAATATTTTGAGCGAGTTTAAATTTTATTATTATATGTAAGAAAAAATTTTAACAAAAAATAAGATTTGAAAAATCAAGTCGAACTAAGCTAAGTTTGCTGAAAATACTGAAGTACAGTGTTAGGTCTAACTTGAACCCTACCGGCCTAACCCATGAGCAACTCTATTGGTATGGGTGTTCAATTTATAAAAAAAAAATAATAATAATTACTTATTTGTAAAACATTACATGCAGCAAAACAGTTTTAAATCTAATAATAATTTGTTAACATAACACATTGTGTTTCAATTATTCTTCATAATAATAAACATCAGTTCATAAATAAGCATTAATACTCATAAGCATATGTGCCTATTGTTTTCTCCCTAACAGTTTCCTTGTAAAGCAAGTTGTACATATATATATATATATATATATATATATATATATAGGGATATATGCTGCAGCATTTCAATTCTTGTCAAATGATGATTCCAACTTTTCTATGTCTCATGTTTCCTACTGCAATAGAAGATGAAATATAGACATAGTTAGTTGTAATAACATTTAAAATGAAATATAATGAGAAGTTTTTTTTTTTTTTAGTAGCTACGTTTTTTTACCTGTCATCCAAGTCTTCTTTGAGCATTCGTTCTTTCTCCCTTCTGTTTCAATTAACAAACAACAGGATGTATTAGTTTTCCTTTTAACCTGAATTGTCAAGAACAGTGGGTTCTTGAGATCAAATTGGAATTTTCTTTCGATTTGGCAGTGGGAGAACTTTTTTGCGATAGAGAGGGAGAATTTTTTTTATTATCGAAACGGTTTTTGCATTGGAGCATGGAACTTTGTGGTGTAGTAAATGAACATCATTGTTGTATTTGAAGAATATCAAAGAATAATGAAGGATTCAATGGATGAGGATGACAGAATAATTTCGGAATTCAGCGAATGAATAAATGTTAAGTAATGCTACCAATTATAATTAGATTAGATGTAGATTTGTTTTAACATTTGATCATATATGCAATAATGATTAATGAATAATTAATAATTAAGGTATCTATTATCTTGGTTTGAAATGACTTAATAAGTATAATATTTAACTAATCAATTAATTGGTCTTACTACTAACCTTATTAATTGTTATTTATAATTTATAGGAAATTAATCACAAGATTTAAAACCAAAATTATTCATATAATATTGATTTAATTTTAACTTTTGGTCATTTGAACATTAATACTGAAGAACAAAGATTTCTTGGTTGGTTAAATTTTGTTTACTTAATAATTTAGTGTTAATTTTATTTTATATAAATATAAATATAAAGCATTTTAAATTTTATTTAAAGAAACTCAATGCATACAATTACTTAAATACAATGATTCTTAATATTCATAAATTAAAAAATATATATTATTTAAAATTAGAACAATTTTTTATTTGTACATATTTATGTTAGGCTAAGAAATAACTTTATTCTCAATTCAAATTTAATTTTATGAATAAATAATAATTAATTAATTAAAATTCAAATGTAACTAAAATATTAATTTATTAAAATCTTTTTACCTTTATAAAATTGGATTTAAAATTTCAAGAAGAAAATTTTAAAAATAACAAAAATAAAATGGTGGCAACTGAGGAGGCAAACCCCCCCCCCCCCCCAAGTTACCCATTTCTCACCAACCTTGATTTTATAGATAACTCTTTTAAATAACAGATGTTGCATAAAAAATCGTTTTATATTCATATTTAGACTGTCTTAAATTATTTTAGTAATCCAATTCAATTATTCAACATGGAAAAATTGAAAATACATTATTTATGTAATTGTATAAATTATAAATAATATTATTTTCTGAAATTAAAATATTCGTTAAAAAAGAGTTTATCATTTGTTCGTTTACTTATTTGAGACAAAAATTATTTAAATACGCAATGGATTTTTTCGGTTAAAATTTTAAGTTTTTATGAGTTTTAAATCAAGTTTGTCTCTTCAAAACTACTTTAAGTATGAATTAATTCAGTTTAAATTATTTTGGAATTAATTTGCTCCGAATTTAAATTATTTCAAATTAATTCGTGTTGGATTCATAATTTTTTAAATTAAATTCTTGACTTTTTAGTTCGAAACGAACATGATTTTGAGCCTTGTTTCGTTCATATTATTGTCACTTCTATCGGGCACTCAATCCTGAAAAGGAGAACGTAAACTAGTTTAGAGCACTCAATTCCATTTTTCAAGTTTTTTTTTTTTTAAATACTAAAATAATTATAAAAATTTTTATTTTTTATATTTTTTTTCGTATCCAAGTAACTATTTATCCTTCTAGTTGTACCCATGTAACCTTTTAATCTTAACCGAAGATTGACAAGATGTAAGCTTCGAGTTGTCCCTAACCAGTTGCTTTTTTATCTGCATGGAAGTTGATGTGGCAAAAAAATAATTAAAAAAATATTTCTTAAATATAAAATGTTTTAATTTTTCTTTTGTTTTCTTCTTTCATCTGTTTCCTATTTTCACTTTCAATTTTGTCAATCCGAATTTGTTCTAATCGGATCAAACTAATGAAAACCTGATTAGGAGCTAGCATGACCAAAAATAATTTCTACACCAATTGGAGTACAAGAGATCTATTTGAGGTCTGACTTCTTTTAGACCGTTCCAACCTATTTTAAAGGTAATTTCTGATAATATTGATGTCGGATCCAGCCTCCGTTAGCCTTATCCGGTCAAAATCAACTGGGATAAGGGAGATCAAGAGTGAGAGTACAAAAGAGAGGAGAAAAAAGAATTAAAAAAAAAGAAAAATAGCCTTTTCTCTAACTAATTTTCGTTAACACTTTTTTTTGCACATTTTATTTTATTTTCTTTTGGCAGATAAAGCAAATTAAACATTGTTAACTTAAGCTCGAACTAACCATGATTCAAAGTTTGGAAAGAAATTGATATAATGTTAGTTAATTATTTAATAGTTTTAAAAAAATTGATCTTTATTTCTTATAATTTATATAAGAAATTATAATATTAGGATAAAGTGAATAGGTTGTACAAGATAAGATTCAAACCTTATATTCGTTAAAAATTACTTTTTAAAGATCATAACATAAATCAATTAAATTAAATTTTAAATTTTATATAGTTTCTTCATAATACAGTAATGATTATTGGTTTTAAAATTAATCGATTAATGTATATATAATTTCTATTATTTTGCTGATGTAATGAAACTTAGTTATATAATCCGTTATTTTACATAATTAAAACATGTTAAATAATTTTATGTTATGGTAAATTTGCATTTTTTTTTTTTTTTTTGCTTTGCATTTCATAAATTGAGAATTAGCAAACTCCATAAACAATGACAGAATATTCCACATTCACAATCTCGAGTTCCTTAACAATAATACCTCCAGGAAAAATTGTCCCTTTTGCTTCTTTTTTTCCTTTCCCAATTACATATTCACATTTATTCTTTAAAAATATAAAATCATGTGCACACCACTATCCAAGATTTCAAGCCACATGTTAATTCAAGCAATTTCATTTGGTAATTGCTACAATAAGATAGAAAAAATTGGCAACAATCAGAATTCAGAAAAATCTTAGTTCATGGTCATTAACAGGCCAGATTCAACTCCAGGAAACCAAGGCCTTTACCTAAAATAAAATGTGACAAAGTAAACAGGGGAAATATCCAAACAATCACCATTACAAACAACAAAAAGCGCATGTCTTAATCCTAATATTCTTTAATGCCTTATCAATGTATTTGGAACTAGATTTTCCGGGCAGCTCGCGAGTGAAAGGTCCTTTTCACGGCTGAAAGACATTGATTTATGTAACTGTAGTGATGCTGCGACGAGAATTAGCATCACCATGATGACAATCTACACGTTGTAAATCAGCAGGGAGGAAGCCATGCTCTAGATTTCAGTAATGACTAGTTATCCCTCTTAATGTAGAATATGTCCCAACAATAGCACAGGCAATACCAAATACAGCAATTGTGGCACTCAAAACAATCTGTTCATATGTTGAAAACCTTCTTTTAATGGTGAGCACAATATACGAGCATATATATATATATATATATATATATATGATGGAGATGAAGCAACCCAAGAAGATCACATGGTATTTTAAAGCAACACAATGAATTTTCTCAACAAGGGCTTTCACATAAGACACCAATAACATAAAAGAACACTACATGCTTTAGTCTCAAATATTCAAAGTGGTAATTTACAATTAAACCACCAAATTCTTCTCAATACCATTGTTATTTTTAATCATGATCCAAGCAACATCTGCTTTTGTTTTGAAGCAGTTGGCCAAGAATATGTTAGCGCTAAAATTGCATTCCATCAATTGTTAGAACTTAGGATTAATGATGCCAACAGCTATCTTTCTTTTATTAGAAAGCATCAATATATCTAAAATCTCAAGCTTCTAATCTACCCGGCCAAGAGTTAATTTCAACTCGTGATAACAGATGCATTCACATATACATACATAATGACTCTGGTTCACATGTAAGTGTTGTTATATTCTAGTTTCATTGCCAACATTGCTACACATCAACCAAGCTACATTTGGATGTAATTCTGTCTGCTACAATGCATCAACCAACATGGGTGACGTATTATGCATTTTGTCTTTAAATAATAACTGATGCAAGCTAGCAACTTTAAAATAATCTCAATGGTTGTTCAATGCATAAATGCATCTATGAAAAATTTAACCTCAATTTATTATCTTTGTTCTCAATTATTCTACTTTTCCTATTCCATTTACATAAGAAAATATTTAAAAGACACATGCAAGTAACAAGTTTTTTTTCTTTAAGAAAAGAAAAAGAGCAGAAATTTAAGTAACAAATTATTCTGCTTACCTGTGCCCTTGTAGCTTTTCTTCCAACAATCTTTATGAAACATAGTGATGGCATTATTATAGCCTGAAATAAAGCAAATAATGCATAAACAGAATGCCAAGGTCCAGAAACAATCCTTTTAATATTTTGGAATAACACCAGGATTAAAAAGAAATCAAAGCTATTTATTTTATTTCTTAAACTAGACTGTCATCTTTGGCAAAATTTGACTGCGTGAACATTAATGCATGTCAAAACCCTTGATGAAATACAAGTATGTTTCAAAATAGGTGAGATTATTTGTCCATTTTAATAAAAAAAAAAAAATTGTACTTGCGGCTACATTTGGGGCAGTTTTACTAATAAAAAATAAAAGTTAAGTTCCAAAGTAACCAAAAGGAAATTAGGTAGTCCTTAGTAGCAGATAAATGAAAATTTTCAGTACATTTGATGAAGGCTACAAAAATAGTTTTTTTCATTTCTAATAAAAGAATAAACAGAACACGGTACTTACCACCATAGAGCTGAGAAGAGAACCAATTAAAGCCATCATAAGACCTGTGATCAAAGCAATGTCACATTTAAATCACTCAACTCTAATAATAAATTTAATGGTATGGATAATAATAAAGTACCAATAAAAAGGCTGAAGCTACTCAAAATCATGAAGAAAAATCTATTTCGAGTCATTATACAACCATTTTCCAAAATTCTAAAACATTAAAAATGTTAGCTAAAATTGTGATCATGTTATAACTAGTATTTTGAAGCATAATTTAGATTTTTAACCTTTGGCATCATTCCAAACAGGAACTCATTCTCTTAACCTAACCAAATTAGGTTTTGATTTTATCTGAACTTCCTCATTTAAATTATACAAACTCCAAATCCGATTCATTAGGCCACTTATACAGTATGGTACTAGACAAGAAGCTTTCAAAAGATAGTCATTCTGTATACAACAATAGTTGACAGCATTAACTAGTTAAGCATGCAAAATTGTTTAATTGCAGATGAATGATTTGAAATTAATTATAATACGGTCAGGCTGTATAGCAACCAACTAATTTCTGCAATTCTTATCCCTATTTCTTCTTTATTTTTCCTCAATTTAGCAGTAACTGGGCACTAAGAAATTAAATGACAGATTTAATTCTTAACACAACCGAGCAATTTGTTCGTGCATGCATTCCTAGCCAACCTAAAGGTTCCAGCAGACTTGTCCTTTGCTACAAGCTCACACCCTCATCTTCATGGGCACAATATAGATTTATCTAAAACCATATATACCAGTTGCCAGATGACTGAATAATATATTCATAAAGTTTGAGGTGAATTTAAATGGATTAGATGGATTAGTTTATCCAAAGTGGACCAGTACAATCCCCCCCCCCACACAAACACACAAATCAATAGTGGACACTGAAAACAGCTTAAAGGTAGGAATGCGCCTAAGGAGAAGAAAATGTAAACAAAACAAGATGCATCTCACCTAACTTAGTGTCGGCATTTTCTTTTATAACAATGGAAAACAAATCTTTTCTATGGTTTAATATTACACCTCTTTTCTTGTCAACTCAAATATAGTTATCAGTAGATGTGCCTGTTCTAATTTGTAGAATAATCCTTGTATTGTTGATTCACATGCATGACAATTAATTGAACTACAGATATCTAACACGACTAGTTCAAATTACTTTTAATTGCTAAATGATACCGCAAATTTTAGGGATAATTTGCCATCGTACTTTGCATCAATATCCAGTGTCACAGCTCTATTTCCATTTTGTGTCAAATCTCTCAATGAACTTATATGTTGGTCCAAATTTGACATTAACTTTAGCCAAATATGCTGCTAGGATGGGTTACAAAGAATTAATGGAAAAAAATCATATGGCACTAATGCCAGCTTACCTTAGGCCTTTGCCAGTTCAACATTGGACTGGTGCCAAACACTGGCAGCCAGTGACCAAGGAAAGGGAGGAAAAGGAAATAAAAAATGAAAAATGAAAAAATAAAAAGAAAGGAAAAAATAAAAATTTAGTTTCAAAATCCACATCAACAATTTTCTTTTACTTTATTTTTTTTTTCAAATCAGCAAATTTACTTTTTTTTTAATGGTTGAAAGGGAATATTCCATAAAATATCCCTTTCCATTAACTTTTGACCAAATTTGGACCAAAATAAAAGTTGAATGTGTGAATTGAACCAAACGAAAGTAGAGTGGTATGATTGACTATCAACCAAGAGTACAGTGGCAACAAGGTAATAATCCCTGAATGTGACTTTCAGTAAGTCACATTCTTATTTTTGTAGGTTGCTTTCTCACAATCATAACTCAGCACAAGTTTGGAAAAAAATAATGCTTGCGTGCAGTGTATTGAGTAAATCGCTATTTATATCTCTAAGTTTCTTGTGGAATAATTTCTGCAAAATATTAACAAAATAAAATAGGAAGACAAGTAATGTGTCCACAATTCAAAAGAGTTTAAGTTTACTTATGATTATTTCTTAGCTTTTATGATTTATTGCATCATGAAGCATGAGATGTAACTAAGTCTAGAACACTGAAAGAAAGCAAATTCCAAAATTTACCGAAGAAAGGCATAACAAATGCAGCACCAACAGTAGAAAAGACAAGTGCTGCTCTCAGAAGAATGAAACACCATAAACTATTTGAAACTTCATCTGGCAGCAGCTCCTCTATACTCCTTGCCAACGGGATCATCAACAATGCATATTTGGTCAATGTCAAGGAAGAAAACAGGTGTATTGGTATGGCATAAATTTAATGTTCATAATTCTAATATATACAAGCAAAAGGATATTTTGTGAGTGGGTTGATAACCTGGAACACAACAAGAAAGGTAGCTTAAAAACCTAACCAAATCTCTCTCTGGGTGAAAATACCAGTGAAATGCAGAGTCTCACACTTACCGTTGTCCACAATGCAATTTTAGAAACAAAAGCCTGTGGTGGCATATTCAAAGTTATCTGAGAGAAGGTGCCTTGACCGAACTCAAGAAAACCCATGGTTGCAACACCCCCATACAATACTATACATAAAAGAAAGCTGCACAAGATGTAAGAAGAAATCAGAACAAAAGGACAATATGAAACATCCTTCCATGCCACAACAAATATCCTTACCAATATAGCATTGCCCTCTTAAATTGTGATTTATCAGCCATTGATTGATAGATATTTGGAAACACAGAATGCCCCGAATGACAAAATCCATATACACCAATTACAAATGGAATGCCACTCCAATTCGCAGCTTTACCAGTATGATGGAAGCCCACACCACCAGCTGCACCAAGGAATACCAGACAAAGAACTATCACCAATGTTGTAACAACCCCACCAGCTGCAAAATAAGTAATGTGAAATCTGATGTTAGTTCATAATGTATCTTCAACACTTTAGATAGTTGACTACATTGAGCATCTTTGAAATAACGTTGCAACACCTGAAAGATATGAAATAAGGCGGAGATCTTTTAACCAGACAGTGGGTAGAACAACAAAGGCAGTTAGAATTCCAAAAATGTGAATTGAGTCCAGCTTTAAACCAGGCCAATCCAAAGAAACTCCAGGAAATAGCCTTGTAAGATTGTCACCTTCCATGATAATAAATTCCACACAATATGACTGTATAGGTTAAAATGAAATTTTGTAAATTAGATAGAGAACTCGCAGCATAGAATTCAATAAAAACTAAATTAGAAGAGCGAGCTTACATATAATTCTGTATAGAGAACAATCTGCATCAACCCAACAAATACAGCATTAGAGAATTTGGCTACAAACAAAAGGAAAATAAATATAATCTACATTAAAAAATGGTTTTTCTTTTTCCATTCAACTTCACAATTTATTATCAACATCACCATTGATAGTTAGATGTAGCAGAAATAATTATTGAAATAAAATTTAATATTTATACTCTAGCAAATGAGCAGAGGCATGAGGAAACATTGAAATTGCGACAAGAAATCATGCTTATGACAATAAACAATGTGTACTAGATTTAGATGCATACTGTTAGATATCAGTATGTACGCTATCATAGTAGGCTATTGTCAGCAATGCCCTCCTAGCCTAACAAACTATTTATTAACTAACAAGCAAGAAGGTAGGATAACTGACAGATATAAAAAGGCGTCCGAATCGTCCAAAGGCAGCTTCACCCATATCAGGGTAAGATATAATTCCTTCTCTGCTTTCAAAGCAGTATTTCATCAGTGTGGCTGTATAACAACATACAACTGCAAAAAGAATTAGCATCAACAAGCTTGCCCAGCCTCCTTTCGCTATCGTATAAGGTGTGGATAGAAGCCCAACTCCAACCATTACATTTACCGCTGTCAGAAAAGAATAAATGCGGAGTTAAAAATTTGAACCATAGGGAACATCCAGATAACCGTTATCTCTTAATTTCTAAATTCCAATGATTAGAGTAATAAGAGGTGAAGTGGTGAACTGCCAGTTTTCTTTTCCCGGATGCACGTAGGAATGAATAGGAACAGATAAAGAGACAACACTAGGCAAATTTTCCCTCTAGATCATTTGACAAGAGGTTCTCAACCATTTTCAAGCATAGACATAAAGGAAACCAAAGTACTCAAAGATATCATAAATAAGGGAAATAGATCATGATATCGACATAGCATACAATTAAATACCGTCTGGGTCACACTACATCCATAAGCAACGGAAAACTCTCCTGTAAGTTGCTTATGAATTGAATACTTCTGCGACCATGATGACTGTGCTCTTGAGATGCTATCTAGAAAACCCTTCCCATAACTCTTTTGATGTTCAGACAGAAGAGGAAGCTTTCCATCCAGGTCCAAATTACTTTTGCTCTGACTGCCAAAACTCAAATATCCAAAATTTGGAACTCCCCCTAGAACTCCGAAGCTTGGTGATGCTGTGATTGTGTAAGGATCCATGGTCTCTCTGTGACAAACACAAAGAAGTAGGCAGAAAAAGAAAGAAAAGTAAAAAGATTAGGTGAAGCATCAGCCAACAGAGAATGTATCCAAAAAGCGCAGCTATTTGACAAAAAGGTAAATGGTTAACAATTGCTTATAGAAGATAAGTGAAAGTTATAACTTTTATATACACGAAGCAAAGTGCCAACATTTAGGTTTTTCGAGGTAGGGAGAGTGGAAAGAAGAAGGATGAAATGTTTTAATCCAATGACCAATTTCACCGCCCTCCTATTTTCTAGCCTAACCATTAGATTAAATATTTTCCTTCCTTCTTTCCATGCTATCTACCAAGTAGAGCCTTTTATTGAGTCAACAGCATGTCATATACTTAAAAGCAACAACCCATTACTTGCTTAGTTGCTTTTATACGAAGAAATTATGCAATCCAGAATCACCAACGGAGGGTTCAGTCCAGGTTTAAATGATGTTTCTTTCATTAGTTATTTCAACAATCAATATTACAAGAAAAAATGATGTGCTGCGAACTGAAATGATATATATTAAATGCAGTAAATTGATAGAGAATGAGAAGAGAAGAAAAAGGCATATATACTTGAAACTTTGTGGCCATTGTTGGGAAGAGAAAGCGGCAGAAGGGCCTCTTCTGCCTCCCTCACCGTCATCATAACTATTGTTCTTGCTGCTGCTGCTACTGCTGATACTACCATCCTCTATCTTGCTCTCTTCAAGGTCGTCCTCATCATCATTTTCCATGAAGAACTCTTCGTTATCCATCTCCTTAACCTTGTCAGCCATAACTGCTATAAAATAGAAAAGCAACGGATTTTTAAGGCTTCTAGCACCCTGGAATCCAATTCCAATAAATCAAGAAAAAAAAAAGAAGAAGAAAGAAAAGATAGGATCAATCACCTGATCAATGACACAAAACAATGAGGATTTGGGTGAGTGTTGAGAGAAGAGTGAGAGAGATATGAAAAAAAATTGGAAATATTGGTACTTAGTTAGACGGGTTGTCTGTTTACTAAATTTAAAAAAAAAAAAATGGCAGGGTTTCAAGGGGAATGGATGGATGTGAATGAAGCTCCAGAAGTTGGGACAGTTTTGGAATGCAAAGTATGGAAGGAGACAAATAAGGAGAATAGGAAATCAAGGGTTTTTTTTTAATACAGGAGAGATAAGATGATACTAGATGCTTCCGGCAAAACATTTGTTCTTCCCATTTTAAGGCGTTGCCACATTAATATATATGCCTTCGGAAATATTTTTTTAATTTTTTAATACGTAAGTATTGTTTTATATTATTAATATGTTAAATTTATTAAATTATAAATAATTTATAATTATTTATTTATTTAATTATATTTATATAATATATTTATATTAATTATATAATGATATATATTTATATTAATTATATTTATTTATTTATATTTATATTATTCATATTTATATATGTTATATTTAAATAAATTAATTATATATATTAATCGTATTATATTATATATAACATATTTATTAAATATATTATATTTATATTTAATATTTAAATATAATTTATAATTTAGATTATTTTATATTTTAATAATTTATATTATTATATATATTAAATATGATAAAAAATATATAAATTATTACGAGTCCTTCAAAACAAAAAATAAAAGGAAAAAAAGATGGGGGAGGAGTTACTAAGAAACCGAAGGAAACAAACAAGAAAAGCAAGACGCTGTAAGATTGCGGGTGGGATAGCAATGGAATGGTCGATAATCATGCAGCGATTCATGGGAGTTTGGGATTACAAAATTTATGGAACGTTTGATGGGTATTGTTTGTCGGTTTGTGAATAATGGTTTTGGGCCGAAGCTTTTTAAAATGCATTTATTTACTCATGTGAGCCAGTCATAGGAGCTGCTGCCGCTGCCACATATTTACACGTTCTCCGATGTTCCTCTATTCTACGCAATTTCTTTGCTACGCTTGTCCATTACTTCTTACACCACGGTTGTTTGTTTCACGTGATCATTTCAAAATTTTGAACCCCTTGTCGGCTTCTTACACTCGATGATTTGTGCATTTATATTATATTATTATATTAGATATAATATAAATAAATAAATTATTTAATTTATTAAAAATTTAAATATAAATATGACGTTTATTATACACGTAATATGATAAAATTAATAAATTAAACACTATTAACACAAAAAGATACAATCAATACAATTTAGAATACAACTAGATACAATTAGACATAGCACAATTAATTCAAACTCTATAACAAGGATACCAACTAAATATCTAATGCTTGTCCAGTTTTCTTTTCATTTTCTTGCACTTTCATGCTTTTGTTTTTTTTTTTGGGGAGCAATCGAACGCAGAAGGACAAAACCAAAATTGGGTAATGAAGAGACAACCTTTCCTAGAGGGGTAAACCTGTGTTGCTCATCATTCGGTGCCTTGCTTTTTTGAAACTCTGAAACTGCATAAAGTTAGCACTTGTAAAGCGATTAATGAGTAGATAAAGCTCTTTTGAAATACAAAGAAGTTTTTTTGTTTTTTTGAAAAGTAGGAAAGGAGGATAAATCATGTTTTTGGGCACGTGTTTTGCGTTCAAAATATTTGAAAGGTTCCACCTTTCTTTATGCTACTATTATACGGGGAGCCTCAGACACTTACATAAGGTATTTTCTCGGGCAAGGAGGCACTGATGAAGGATTGTGCGAAATTGGTTGGTAATGGACAGAATACTTCCTTTTGATATGATAAATGGCTTGGAAGTAAATTTATTATTAAATTTTATGAATCTTGGATTAGACCAATGTCAGCCAGATTTGATTAGTGATCTTTTGGATGAGAATATAGATTGGAATTGGCAGAGATTGTCAGTTTTTTTGTCATGATATTCTTAATCACCTATCCTTAGTGCATCCAATAAATACTAAGGATGGTAGGGTTATTTGGACAGCTTTTCCTAGAGGAAAATTTTCATGTAAGTCGGCTTATAATCTTATTAAGGGGGATCCTAATGCTGATTTTTGTTGAAACCGATTCTGGAAATCGGAAATGTCGTCTAGAGTCCACTACTTTCTATGGCTAGTGATTTATAATCGAGTTCTTACTAAAGAAGTTGTGCCATAAGAAGAATTTCATTTTCAACCCGGTGTCCAAGATGCGTTGCTGATTTGGAGAATATCTTGCATGTCTTAAAAAACTATCACAAGTCTTAATTACTCTGGACTAGATGGTTGCATGGTGATCAATTGGATAAATTCAATTCTTTGCCTTTGACAGAATGGTTGAGGTTCAACCTATTTAATAAGAACAAGTTGATTGAGAGTTCAATTCCTTGGTTTTTATTCTTTGAGTTTGCTTGTTGGTATCCATGAAAATTGCGTAACAAAGTCCTCTCTAAAGCTGGGTTTGTATGGCCAGGTAATGTCTACAATTCTATCATCGTTTGTATGAAAGATTAACTAAAGTAAAAGAGTATCAGTGGCTGTTCTCCGGTTAGAAAACTCATTTATATTGCTTGGCAATGTCCTCCTGAACCTTTTTGTCAAGTTGAATGCTGATGCAACAACTAAATTTAACCCTAATGAGTTAGTTGCTGGTAAACATAATACCTGTTCAAATCAAATATAATTTGATTTGATTTTTTTGAATAATATACAGTATTATAAATTTTTAAAATTCAATTCAAATTTGATTTGACTTTTTATATGATCTAATTCAATTGAAATTTATTGATTCAGTTAATAGGTTTTTAATTTTTTTTTTGTTTTTATATATTATTTTAATATAAATTTTTTTATATATTTAAATAAATTTAGATATAAAATAATTATTTTTATTTTATAAAATTTTAAAAAATATATAAAAACTAATAAAAATATTCAATTTGATTCAGTTTTCAATTTTTCATTTCTCAAATCAAAATCTAATCTGTATATACATTTAATATCCTAACTTAGTCCAATTGAAATTTACTGGTTCAATTAATCGATTTTTGAATTTTTTTATTTTTTATATATTATTTTAATATAAATTTTTATATATTTAAATAGATTTAGATACAAAATAATTATTTTTATTTTATAAAATTTAAAATATATATAAAACTAATAAAAATATATAATACGATTTAATTTTTAGTTTTTCATTCTTTAATCCGAAATCCAATCTGTATATAAATTTAATATCCAAATGTAGTCCGAACTAAATAAAAAAATCGATTTAAATTAAACTAAAATTTTTAATTTTTAATTAATTTTGAATTTTTCGATTTTTTTTTTTTTTTAACTTTACAAGTGGCTTGTGCAGGAATAGTAGGGGTTACTTGATGCTTGGGTTTACAAGAAGATACAATCTACCGTATTAGGTTGTTCATTCTTGCCAATGTCTACTTCACATGAATTGGAATTGCTCTATAGTTCACATCTACAAAGAAGCCAATTTTTGAATAGATTTGTTAGCAAATTATGCTCATGACGGTGATTTTGACATTGTTAAGTTATTTTATCCTCCTTCTACCTTAGATAGATTGTTACATGATCTCTTGGGTGTTGTAAGTCATAAAGCCTATGTAGTGTAAGTTCAAGAATCCTTAAAATTTTTCTGGATATTTATTTTTATGAATTTAAAAAAAATTTTGAATATTTATTTTTGAGAAACTTAATTTTAAAAAATAAAAAATAAATAAAAAATAAGGGGTGAAATACATTTAGTAGAAATAGTAAATAAAATTTTGAATTTAAGATATATTTAAAAGTGAAATGTATAAAATAATATACGAAGTGTAAATAAAATTCCCCTTCCTCATTTCATTTCCTTTCTTTTCCCTTCACTTATCACAATTCAAACATGGAGTTAGGGATAACTTGGTAATTTCAAAAGATATTTCCCTCATTACATACTAAATACATGCTTACTCTTTGCGGTGAAATTATTTTAATTCAATAATAAGATAATTATGTACTTTCATAATTTATAGTAATTAATGGTTTAATTTTAAAATTTGTCAATTTTATTTTTAATGTTATGAAAAAAATAGAACAAGTTATCATATAGTAAAATTATGAGTTTTTCTATATTTAACTAAAAAATAATGAGAGTCTCAAGCATGAAAATAAATAAAATAAGTTATTATATAATAAAATTATGAGTTTTTTTTTATATATAAATAAAAAATGAGTCTCAAAAATGATGGTGATGAAATTAAAAATTAATTTACATGTTTAAATTGTATTTGTTATAATTAGATAGAAAACGGATAGTAGTCAAATAAATTTTTAAACTTTGTTAGTGTTTGATATTTTGTTATATGAAATTAAAGTTATGATTTTTTTTTCCTTTTTTTCTCACTTCTCTTTTATAGCCACTTCATCAGTGGCTGCACTTGCAACTTTCGCCGCCAACAACTACCACACTGTGTCACCATCAATGAAACTTTGTTTTTCTTATTTACTTCTCTCTTTCTTTTCCGTTCAGTTCCTCACCCAAAAACTGAAATCCTTAATTAACCCGAAAACCTTATTTTAAAACCTAATGTTTCATTGACACCATTATCACTTTCTCTTTGTTGATTGTTGATTTGATTTTTTTCTGTATTTTTGGTTTTTGATTTTTTTCTTGCACTTTTTGTTACTTTTTTCTATGTTTTTTCTTTGAATTGAAAATTTGCTACTTTTTTTTTTCTCAAAATTAAAAATCACGAGATAAATCTGATATTTTATATTTCTCTAGCATGTAAACACTGACTTCACATGAAAAACACAAAATATATTTTTTAATTTTTATTAAATTTATATATAATTTTTATTAAAATTTAAAATTACGTCACTTTTATATTTTAAGTTGCCCGTCCAAGCAAATGAGTCTCAAATTGAGGAATTGTTATAATTAAATTTTAACAGTTCCGTCAGACTCAAAGGAAAGCACCTCCAATTTCTTACATGATCCACCATTTTCCGTCAGGTTTTGTTTAATATATGGCTGTTTGGATTAGGTGTGAAATGGGCTTTTCTTATATGGAAACAAGCCCAACGTGGGTTAAGACTTGTTGAAAAGGTTCCCTCGCCCTTATCTACATTCCTAAAACCATATTGCGTGGTTTAGCGGAGGGTTTTAGTTTTGTGGAAGAAGGAAAGAAGAAGACGACGAACGTTTTGGCTGATGAAACTGGTGACTTAAATTTAGCATGTTGATTTAAAGTTTTGATTCCTGTCAAATGCTAAAGTGATATATTTCTGTGTTTTTGCAGTGAGAATTTTGGTAAAGATTTCACGGATACAGAAATGGCACTGCAATACTCGATCCATATCCAGTATTGGTTTTCTCCAGCAAAACAGAACAAACTAAAGGCCGTACGTTCAAACTCACTTAAATTGCCTTCCTGGGTATGTCCGAACTGAACTTTCTCTCTTTTTTTTTTTTTTGAAATAAATAAATTTCCAAGTGCAAATGTACCTTACAACCAATGGTTAGAAAATGCAGAATCGGAGTTCGATAGGGAATGGGGTAAGAGCAAATGGAATGGTAGAAAAATTTGGAAAGAAATTTATGGGACGAGAATTAAGTGACATGATGATGATGATGATGATGATGATGATGATAATGGTCCATCAACGAAAAAGGGTCAGATGGATGATTCATATAATTTTGATGCTGATAAGCGACGTGAATGGAGAGCCAAGATTAGGGAAGTCCTTTATAAGCATCCTGAAATTCAGGAGGAACTTGACCCTGTTGAAAAGTTGAACAAGATGCAAAAGCTACTGGCTGATTATCCCCTGGTTGTAGAAGAGGACGATCCGGATTGGCCTGAAGATGCTGATGGCTGGGGTTTCAACCTGGGACAGTTCTTTGATAAGATAACCATCAAGAATGTCAAGAAAGATATCGAAGATGATGATTATGATAGTGAGAATGAAATAGTTTGGCAAGATGATAACTATATTCGTCCAATCAAAGACATTAAGACTGCTGAATGGGAAGAGACTGTATTCAAGGACATTAGTCCTTTAATCATTCTTGTGCATAACCGCTACAAAAGGTTAGTTTTTCTTTGCTTCATTCTTTACCTTTTCACCAATCAAAATACAAACAGAAATACCTAAAATGAGTTGCTATATGTTATCATCTCTTTTAAAGATATGGAAACTCGGCAGGCCAAAAGAAAATGAAAGGGTTTGGGATGAGCTAGAGAAAGCTGTAAACATCATGTGGAATTGCAGACTGCCTTCACCAAGAGTGGGTATAACTATGTTATTGTTTCTGATACACCTTCATTTCTTTCTTTAATTCATTGGTCCTAATTTATAATTACTCTATCAGTGCATAGCAGTTGATGCTGTAGTTGAGGATGCTTTGGTCTCTGCTCTAAAAGTTTCTGTCTTTCCAGAAATAATATTCACAAAAGCTGGGAAAATTTTATACCGTGAGCAAGGTACTTGCTTAACTAAAAATAATAATCTTGGCTTCTTGCCTCTGTTTTATTATTGACCATATGAACTTGTAATCTGCTGTTTGTTCAGGAATTCGAACTGCAGATGAGCTGTCGAAAATTATGGCTTTTTTTTATTATGGAGCTGCCAAGCCACCTTGTTTAGATTGCAATGGAAATAGCCAGGAAATGATCCCATCAGTTGCCATCAAGAGTTAAAACAATTTGGTAGTTGCTAGCAGCTGCCTTAAACTTGTGTATGAAAAATATTGATGTGGATGTGGCTAACTTTATCTATTAAATGGTGGTTATTGTATGATTGTAAATTATAAAAACGGTTGGCCCATGCTGTTTAGGTTTATATTGAGAGGTTTCAGTTTATTGCTCTTCTTAAATCCAAATTTACGACAGCTTGAATTCAATTGAAATTGAAGTTCTAGATATTTGGCATCTTTTGTCCTTGGAGATCAAAAGAAATCAAGTGTGCTGCAGGAATGATGGGAAAATCTGCAGTCTCTGAGCAACAACAAAGCACGAATTTATGATAATTTGCATTACATATTTCTTGAACTCTTTCTTTTAAATCAACATTTTCATCACCCTATTTCTGATCCAATACACATCTTCTACCTCCATTGGATAATGTTCTTTGGCAGAGGTATGCATTTAACTCAACCTTTTTTCTTTAATATGTTTGATCCATTGCACTTGTTCTACATTCATTCCCTGTTAAAAGGTAGAATCTATGATGATTTCGAACCTTGTGCGATGACATGAGCATATACTGCTCCTGTTATCTGTCATTCCTGGGCATCATCTAGCACTGCCCAGATCTTTGTTTGGATATATGGCATAGCTATTTATTAAAACCCATTTATTTACTTTGAAGATGCATTACTTTGAAATACCTTGAGGTATATTAAATCAGAATGACATGAGAAAAGTGTCAATAAGAGTTTCTCTTAGGAAATGCCTTTAATGTGATATCACTATTAACTGCCATCATATGGAATATAATCATTGCAAATGTCAGAACAGCTAAATTTTTTCAGCATTGGAAGTGAAAGGCAAAAATTTGGTATGACTTTGACCCATCAAATTTGCATTTTGCTACATCAACAGTTCACCTTTTTGTTTTCATCTTCCCTCCATAGAATGTAAGGGATTTTCCTGTACTAAGAGATACCCAGAATCCTATCCATGATTCATCTTATTTGGTGGAAAAATGGATTTCCATTGGACCTTGCTCAAGTTTTTCAGTCATTTCAACATCTAGATTCACATATCCATAAAAGTGTGTATTAGTCTGGTTAGTTTGTTATAAATATTGAGTGTGAAAATTAGAGTTTTGCATGGTTGATCTTCTGCAGTTGTTTGTGGGGGGGAGGTTTTGCACATGTTTTAAGTGAAAGGTTGAAGCTTGCAGTCTGATTAGATCCGAAACCCAAAAAAAAAAAAGGGAGACAAAAAATTTTAAGGTTGAATGATCAAATGGGCTTTCAGTGAAAGGTGGCTTTGCATTTAGATTTTGTCGTCCTTGATTTAATTTTCTGTTAGTATCTGACCTTGATCCTATATCTTTCTACTCTATACCTAGATGAACCTGATAGTTGATAATTCTAAGGTTTCTCTCTTTTTATTTGGAAGGGCAGCGGTCATAAAACTTCTCATTTAGCTATTAGAAGTAAAAAAAAATCTCTATTGGGGGGATTTGAGAGTTCTTCTTTCCGGCTTGCTGAAATTATGGGTGCTGGCATAAGATGTTGTCTTGTAATTGCAATTATATTGAAAAATGCTTTAATGTATTATATTGTCAGCATAAAACTGATCATCTTAATAATCCTTTTGATCATAGGACATATTGATCATTCTGCAAGGGTCATGCCTGTTATTACAAGGAATAGAACTTTCAGAGGTATGAAAAATGGTGAAAATGGGATGCACTTTTGCCACTGTTCTTGACAGGCTGCTAGCGTGGGAAAAGAAACTTTTGATGAAGTAAAGGTACATTGTAAAGAAGTTATATATATATATATATATATATATATTGTTTTTACCTGTTTCTTTTCAAATTCATATATGGCTAGCCGCTTGCCATGACAGTCTATTATTACTTCCTCTGTATACTTGGAGTAATTGTACCCTATTTAGATAGTTGGCATGTCATTATTAAGATTTCCTGTTAAATCATTGCTGTTAAACCGTATTTGCATAACTGAAATCTTCGTTTAGTTTTGATATTGATATGCTATTCTTTCTCTTGTAGACCTTGTGCTTAATCCCTTTTGTAGCAAGGAGAGGCAATGAAGCTTGAGTATAGAAGTAAGGTTGCTCGGTTAAACAAGCAATTTACAAAGGGTTCAGTCAAAAGTTCGTATAAGTTTTCACAAAAAGTTTAATTTTCTTGTAATTTCATAAAACTCCAAAACTTTAAATTCAATATCTAACTTAGATAGTTCATACAATTATTTTTAAAAAATGATATTTAATTTATCTAAAATTTTAATCTCAACACTTATAATCTTTTTTTTATATCCCCAATAAACCTTTCTTTTTGTACAATAAGGCATTTTAACATTATCATTGAAATAGCAAGCAATTAACTCTAGAAAACATTGGATCAAAAGTTGCATCAATAGTAGAAGACATGAAAGTGCATTCTTAAAAAAAAAACTGTTTGTTCATAAAGAAAATAAAATACTTGTCTTTTATAGCAGATGGTATATGGGTAATGTGACTTTTTAAGGGAAAAAAAAAAGAAAAGAAAACCGATTAAGGCTATTATAGTCCCTAAAAAAATTTAAAAATCTTCATCTCTAGTCAGGATATTTGGACGACTGGTTTGAATATCTTACATTTTGCTTGAACTATTTTGTAAATCCTAAATACACAAGTAAATTGGAATTATTAGATAATGAAATCCTAAATACACAAATAATTACTGGTTAAATATAGAAAATTACAATTAAATCCATATATGATTAATGAAAACTAATGTTTAAATAGATTAATCTTTCAATAAGCATATTATTGCCAACATTAATTGTTATTCATTTATATCTATATATATATATATATATTTTGTCTAGAAATCTCGGTCTCCGATAATCACTTTGAATTCAAATTAATCTGAAGTCGAGTCAAATATGATCCCATAAGGGGGGCAAGCTCTCCCCATTCTGTTTTTTCCATTCATAAAACTCGAAATCAAAACTTTGTTTAAGGGAAACTGAACTCCTTACCACACTCAAACCAATAAATATTGGTATTTATATATATATATATATATATTATATTCTCACATGCTTATGCATATGCATATTTTCCCTTGATATTTTGCATAAGATTAATAGCAGTACTGTATATTTACATCCAGATTAATTGAAATTGCAATGCTACTGTAACAATCAGTCGTTCTTTTTCCCGTAAATGGATTTTGGAGGTAATGCAGAGTCCTAGGAATGGTTTTCATTTTGCTTGAACTACTTTGTAAGATAACTAAAAATAGTAAAACTTGCATCTTAGTTTGGTTTGTCCCTCCAAATTCGGGGCTTTTAGAGGTTGTAGGAAATGAACAAGTCACCCTTTGAATAACAATGAGAAAGAATATAGGAGAAAATTGTGCTCCTCGCTCTAACATTCTTTAGACAAGAAATTAAAACCCATACCCAAAATGTTGTCAATTAACAAGATTAATACGGGGATTTAAACATGTAATTTTAATTTCAAACATAGTAATGGAAAGATCGATTGCCACTTCATCGCTTCATTTGTCACAAATCCCATGCATGCTGATTGTACGGTCTACTTGTGACTCTTGGTGACTTCACCACAACATTTACCTCCACAAAATTTTCAATGAAAAATGAATTTGATACAAAAAATTTCAATCTTATTTTGTTGGGGCTGAGAAGAAAATGAAAGTCTTTGGTTCAATCCTTCTTTTAGCTTCCCTTCATTGAGACGAGAAAAAGGGAGAGAAACATTGTAAGATTCATACAATTTGTTCATTTCCGCATCATTTTTTCTTTTTTTTCGCATAATCAGTTCTCGGCAACATTGAACTACAACAATGGTATGACATTTTTCTTTCAAAGTAGTCATGATTTCTTGCACACAACCGTAATTATACTCTAGTGATCAGTTTAAACATATATATCATGTTAATTGTAACGTGTAAAAGAAGTTACACGCGATGAACAAGGAGCAAAGTGGTGTTCTAAGGGCATGGGAGGCCACCGTGCGCAAAACACAAGCGGCAAAAAAACGTGCAAATAGCATTTTCGGGACAATTTCTCTGGCAAGTGCAGCGGACGATGATCTTGAAGATGATAACGATAAAAGAATAAGCATCTCAGGGGAAGAACACTTGGCAGAGAAAATTCTACCTAATGGGGATTATTACACCGGGCAGTGGTGTGATAATTTTCCAAACGGGCAAGGGAAATATCTATGGACTGACGGGTGCATGTACATAGGAGAGTGGCATAGAGGCAAACCTATGGGGAGGGGAAGGTTTAGTTGGCCCTCTGGTGCTACTTATGAAGGGGAGTTCAAAAGCGGATATATGGATGGCAATGGTATATATACGGGATCCAATGGGGATACTTATAAGGGACAATGGGTGATGAACTTGAAACATGGCCATGGCGTTAAGCATTATTCAAATGGAGATTGGTATGATGGGGAATGGCGTCGCGGTTTGCAAGAAGGACATGGGAAGTATCAATGGCAGAATGAGAACCATTATGTAGGGGAGTGGAAGAATGGTGTGATTTTTGGCAAGGGGACTTTTGTATGGAGTAATGGGAATAAGTATGATGGCTATTGGGAAGATGGTATTCCAAAAGGAAATGGAACTTATCATTGGCCTGATGGAAGCTTTTACGTAGGAAATTGGAGTATAGATCCAGATGAACAAAATGAGACATATTACCCTTCAGAATCCTCCTTAGCTGCAAATCTTGAATGGGATCCTAAAACTGTGTATGACGACTTGGCTGACTGCAAGATTTACCCTGGAGAAAGGGTTCCGATTTTGCCATCACAAAAGAAACTTGCAATATGTTATTCAACCAAGGGTGGAAACAAACCAAGGAGAATGTCAGTTGATGGGAGAGTAAGCGTAGGCATAGAAATGCCATTTGATAAAATGAACATGTGGGAGAGTGATGGTGATAGCATTGATTTAGGAGAAGTGAGGAGATCATATTTGGATTGTGAGTTGTTAGGTACTGTACATCATGACGATACAAACCATAAGTTTAACCTCGAATTGCCATTGAAAGTGCCAAAGCCGGGAAAAAGGCAAGGAGAAACAATATCCAAAGGACACAAGAACTATGAACTTATGCTCAATCTTCAATTAGGAATCAGGTATCAGTATTCTACTATTTCTTTAACTTGTTTTTTTCTCATCTTAAACTATATTCAAGTTTAAATAATTGTCTAAGAACATCATTATCCAAATATTAGAAAATAGATTATATGCTCTATATATGTAATGTGGAGTTAATTTGTCATTTATTAATTATCAGTATTTGGAGTGATTACACAGGCATTCAGTAGGAAGACCTGCTCCAGCCACAGCTCTTGATCTTAAGGCTTCAGCTTTTGACCCCAAGGAGAAAATATGGACAAGATTTCCTCCAGAAGGGAGCAAATATACTCCACCACACCAATCTTCTGAATTTAAATGGAAGGATTATTGTCCTGTAGTTTTCAGGTCAGGCATTTTACAAGTGAATTTATATGTGATTCATATTCATTTTAATGCAGAAAGTGTGTTATAATTTCTTACAATCCTCACATCATGCAACGTGAACTCGGCATGAAACTTGCAAATAACTTTAAAAAGAGCATCTCATGGGGCTAACTAAAGACAAATTTGTGAAGCATTATATTTCCTTAAAATACAAGGAACCCGTTTTTTCTTCTTTAAGGCTAAAGAAATGAATCAAACTATATTAAATTATATAATCATGACGATGTTTTACAGCAAATACCTCTCTTGATGAAAACAATTGCTCTAGATGTTCAAATTCTCATTAAGAATTCTTAATTAGATCATGCATGCTAATTAACTCCAGGACTTTGAGGAAGTTGTTCAAGGTGGACCCTGCAGATTACATGATATCTATTTGTGGAAACGATGCACTTAGGGAACTGTCTTCCCCTGGTAAAAGTGGTAGCTTCTTTTACTTGACCGATGATGATCGATACATGATAAAGACAATGAAGAAGTCAGAAGTTAAAGTGAGTTCTGTATCTTCATACCCATTATAGTTTGAAAGAAATGCTGATTAATTGTTGCAAATGCAGTTTAATAATTGCCCTGGATTTGTTCTACAGGTGCTTTTAAGGATGCTTTCAGCCTACTATAATCATGTTAGATCCTTTGAGAACACTTTGGTGATAAAATATTATGGCTTGCACTGCGTAAAGTTAACTGGGCCAACTCAAAAAAAGGTCAGTAAACAATATTTTCATACAATCTAGTTATATATATATATATATATATATTTGCTAGAAATGTGTTCTAGAGAAAAATAATCATTTTTTCTCTCATTTTAACTTATTAAAGAAAGTTACAACAGTTTTAAAAGGATGCAAATGATAGGGTTGAAAATCCAGGTACGGTTCATTATTATGGGGAACCTCTTACGCTCCGAGTATACAATTCACAGACGCTTTGATTTGAAAGGATCTTCTTTAGGACGCATAACAGAGAAGCCCGAGTCCGAGATCGATGATACAACAATACTTAAGGATCTTGATCTGAATTTCATATTCAAACTGCAGAAAACTTGGTTTCAAGAGTTTTATAGGTAAAATATATGTAAACATGCTTTCTATTTTTCTATTAATCTTTCTTGATCAACTACAGTACTGAATTTTTACAATTTTTTTTTATCACAGGCAAATAGATAAGGATTGTGAGTTTCTTGAACAGGTGGGAACTATGGACTATAGTCTTCTGGTGGGTCTTTACTTTAGAGATATATCAGCTAATGGAGAGCTAATTCCTTGTGGAAGACGTACGTACTCCATCTTTCTTAACATTTTTGTCCTGTCACACTTAATTTCTCTTATTTTGATTAACAAGTTTTGTTTTCTGATCTGTTGCAGGCGATTCCGAGAATGAATCAGCTCCTCGTCTTTCTAGAGCAGAGATGGATCAACTTCTTCTAGACCCTAAGAGGTGAAATATATAAATATATATATATATATATATCTCCATATATAATCTCGTTGATTTCCAATTTTTAACCACTTTCTGGTCACTACTCCTATCCTATCAACAAGCACAACAATGGATAAAAGGTAAAAGAATTTTGCATTTAAGAACAAAAACCAACATTGCAGGTGGGGTAGCATCAAGCTGGGAGCCAACATGCCAGCGCGAGCAGAAAGAACTATTAGAAAACCTGAATGTGAATTATTGCAGCTCGTGGGTGAACAAACAGGGGAATGTTACGAAGTGATAATGTTCTTCGGCATCATTGACATACTTCAAGATTATGACATTACTAAGAAGCTTGAACACGCATATAAATCCATCCATTATGATCCTACTTCAATATCAGCTGTGGATCCAAAGCAGTACTCTAAGCGATTCCGAGACTTCATATTTAAAGTTTTTGCTGAAGATACTTAGGACGTTGATTTCAGCTTTGAAGACGGAGCTTTTATTTGTTGTAGCCATTGTTATCAACATCATGTCATCTCATGTAATTGAATTCAGCACCAATTTTTCCAAGAATGTCAACTCTTTCAGTCAACCTGTAGCCTTGATTAATGAATATGTATTGCTATATGCATAGAAAGTAAATACATACATACATACATATATATATTTATATATAGTGAAATCATTTGAAAAGTTGCACATGATAAATGTAACTTTTCAATATAATGGATGAAAATAAAATATTAATATAAATCGCATATACTAAATACAATTTTTAAAAATCATGAATGAAAATAAAACATTAATAAAAGTTCAAAGATTAGAAATGAATTTTACTTTCTTCTTATGGATGTAACACGGGTTGAAGATTATTTGTTTTATAACAATAAACTTTATTTGTACTTTGAATCTAAGAAATAATATTATTAAATCTTTTTTTTTCATTTTCCCTTATTTTTCCAAATTTCTTCGTTATTTTCCTCATTTTAAAATCCTTTTCTAATGCCCCCTCCCTAATTCTCATTTTCTTTTCCAGTTTGTGCTTTCATTTTCCTTTTTCTTTTATTTTTTCTTTGCTTATGATAAAAAATCTGTCATTTCTAATTAATACGCCAGTACGTGATCAACCAATCCAAAAAAATATTACTTTAATAATTATAATTATAAATTTTTTTAAAAAATACCACGTAATATTTTAAATGTCTTATGGTCCAAGATGAAAAAAATATGGATTCGAGAAATATACACCCTACAATGGGCCCTTGCAGAAAGCTAAGCTTAAGCATGCACCACAGGCCTCAATTTTTTCTTACTAAAACAATTTTAAATATTTTATATTAATATTTAATAATTCTAAACATATTCTTTGAATGTTGGTTTAAATAAAATATATTTTGAGTCAAATAAATTGAAAGTAAATTACTTTTTTAGTTATCTAATTTTTCTAGATTTTTTAATTTGGTCACAAATTTTGAAAAATAACATATTTTATAAGTATGGTTGCTTTTGTTAAAAATAATCATATTTAGTTTCTATACTTCAAAAACTTTTAATATGGTACATGTATTTTTAAAATATATAATATGATATACGTATTATCATTCTATATGTTAATCTCATCTCACTTTTAATATTATTATTTAAAAATAATAATAAAACTATCGACGAATAAGATGATAGCTCGTGTCTTAATATTTATCACATCATTTACAGAAATAATTTCAAGTTAATTATGTGGTGCACATTTGATTGTCATATGTCATAATTTTATAAAATAAATTTTTATTATTTGAATTGTTTTATTTTATAAAAAAATGAGGCCTTAATAAGATATGATGATACATGGAAAATTCCTTATTTTTTAAGGAATTAATAATCAAAGAATTATTTACAAACGAAACATGATTTTTTAGAATTGATTAATCAAAAAATAAATTTTAAAAATTTAGATGCCACAAGAATAATTAGCTTTAAATTAGATCTAAGATTCTAAACTAAAGCTTATAAATCTTAATAGTTAACAGGCAAGTATGAATTGTGAAGCAAGTCTAATTTATTGGTTTGTGTGATGGTTTAACTATAACTGATAATTTATATATTTATATAAATTAAAATACTAATAATTTATATAGTATTTTATATGAAATTAATGTCATAATTCAGACAAAAAATAAAAAATCTATTTTTTTTATTTTATTAAATTTATATATAATTTTTATTAAAATTTTAATTAATATTATTTTGTCTCGTAACATATTTTAAATTGTAAGGCGTAACTGGAACCCTTAGACAGAGACGAGAAGATAATTTTTAACCATACGAAGGATTTTATGAATTTTTTTTCTTTGGCTGATTGAGAATAGATGAAACGTTTAAATAAAAAAGTGGGGGAAATGTGGATGAAACACATGTGGCGGTGGGCGACGTAAACGTGTATGTAGAAGCGCTCATAAAGAAAAAGGTCTCTGCTAATTGGGCCCTATTAAATGTGACAAAGACGAAGACATGGAATTGGCTTTTCTGATGTATTGAAAGACCTTTCTATACAGCCGAAAACAGATGATATTCTCTTTAAAAAAAAAAGATATTCAGCTTATTATATTTATGATATATGAATTTTTTTTTAATTTTTAACTCAAGCTTGTTTATTTACAAATTTCTCAACAATTATCGAGATTATTATTATTTCTAGTAATAACCCGATATTTTTATTAATTCAAATTATAAATTACTCAATTTAATATGACAACAATTTTTATGTATTTTAATATTTTATATTTTTCTAATAAGTAACAGAATAAAAATAAAAGAATAATAATGTACAATGAAAGTGCATATTCTCTTTTTAAGTTTTTCGACTTTGATACGTTCAGTGGACCATGGAGACGTAAAATGTTTTATATATTTTTTAAATATTTTATTCTATTTTATTTTGTTCATGATTTCAACCTATCTCTTTAGTTATAAGACTTGAGAAAATGATTAAGTTTCTCCGGCAACCTTCTCAAGTGCCATCTCGACATGCTGCAGAGTCAAATGTTCATTGACAAATGTTTTATATTTAGATTCTGTTTGTTTTGTAAAAAATAATTTTTATATTTTTAAATATTTATTTAGTAAAAAATTAATTAATCAACGAAAAATAATTTATTAATTAATAAAAAAATGAAATAATTTTTCTATAAATTATCTTATCAATTTAAAAAGGGATGGACATTTTTTGAAAAATAATATTTATGAGTAGAACTATTTATCAATATTTTTGAGTATAATTTTACTTATAAATAATATTATAATATATTAATAAATAATAAAAAGAATAATAAATAGTTTTATTTTAAGTATTTTTTATATTAACATAAATTTTCAATATTAAATATTATTATTAAAATATAATTAGTTTTAAATATTAATAATTTAATAATAAATAAATGTGACATATTTTGATAATAAATAATTTTTAATATTTTAATAGTTTTATTAATATTATTTAAAAAAAATAAAATTTTCAAAAAATAATCAAACAACGAAAAATATTTTTCAGTAACTTATTTAAACAACAAAAAATCTCTTTTAATTCAAAATATATAAACATTTTTTATAAATAATTTTTTAAAAGTCATTTTTTATAAAACAAATGAAGCTTTGTAAAGCTTTAAATGGAGTGATTTTTTTGTGTTTTTATAACGAAGAAAAGCTATTAAAAATAAAAAGAATTTTATTTTAAAACTAAATAAATATAATTCAACAACATATTTATTCTTGTCACGTACGTAAATTTTTTAAGCAATCTATTATCTATCTTATAGTTAAATTTTTATAATATATTAAAAAATTAAAGTGACAAATTACGCTTGATTAATATTTTATAAATTGTCCAAGATCAAGCTCGATCCCTTCAATAAAACTCATTTAAATTTATTTAATTTAAAATTTAATATTAAAATATATCATTACATTAATATTTGGAATATACTTTAAGATTAAATTTAAATAAAAAATAAGTATTAATAATAAAACATTTTGATTAGCATATCACATGCTATAATTGTAATATAATTAATTAATCAAAATTTATAATTATTTGAAATTAATCAAAATTTTATATGAAACTCATATTTATAAAGAAAAACCTCTAAATAATATTTTATTATAATTAAATAATTATAATATTATAATAAATAAAATTGTAAATGATATATTCCTTATAAAAAAAGTGGCAATTGTGAAATTAGCATGTACAAATGCTAAACAATCCTAAGAAGCTATAATACCAATGAGTTTAAATAGTAAACTTTTTAATAAAGTGTTGAAGTTTAATTCTATTAATAAAAATTTAAATCTAAAAAAATAGTCGGAATAAATTGAGCTTGTTATTTCCAGTATTAAGCATTCCGTTTTCTAGCGTGCAGGAATTTGTCTCCAAGTCTTACTCTACTCCAACACCTACATTGTTGGAGTTAGGGAAGCCAATCCTCTACGCTCAGTTGTCACTATTGATTTCCAAAAACAAAAAGAAAAAATCCTACGAGTCTCAAGAAATTGAATAATTAGTAATTTGTGTAAAAAAATCTATAAAAAATCTCATACATTAACATAAAAAATAAGAAAATAAAATTAAAATAATAGGTATTTATAAAATGTTATGCTTTTTGCTCAAAATCATAAAGTTTAGTAAAAAATAAAATCAATAAAAAGTTACCTGCAAACCATGAGAAAAATGAAAGATAAAAATTTGAGAAGGAAAACGTAAAAAAAAAGAGAAAGGTGAAATACAATAAGTTACTATTTGATATCATTTTCAAGATTAGTATCATAATATAATTGCCGAGTTGATCTTATTGTTATAGTGATCTTATCACTCGTAATTTGAAATCACTTTATTTTATTAACAATTATTAATTCATATGAATTAGTGATTACTATATTTGATATTATTAAAAATCAAATATGATTTTATTTTAAAATATGAAAATAACTATTTTTATTATAATAATTAAACAAGTTAATGATTTAAAATGTTGTTTTAAAAATAATAATTTATAAAGCATAGTAATTTTTATTTATTTTATAATAAAAATAATTATATTAAATTAAATTTATTTATTTATTTGTTAAGTAAATTAATTTTTATAATACAAGTTATGTAAAAAAGTATTTAAATTTGAAAATAAAATTTAAAATCACAATTAAAAATAAAGACATTATTGTTAGTGTGGTGTGATCTCAAATATAATAAATATTTAATTTTTATAGTTTTATATTTAAGTTGGGTCTCTTTATTTACAACAAAATTACTTTAAATTAGATATTTAACATAATATCGAAGTCAATATTTCTTTTTGTTAGTTTTTTCAAATCTGTTATGTGTAGGCTTTTTTATATTATTCTTTTTAAATTTGTCACATTTTAATGATTTTTTCACATTTGTCATGCGATAGACTTTCAAATTTATTACATGTAGACTCCTTTTTGTTATCCTTTCTAAATATGTCATATTCTGTTATCTTTTTCTTAAATCTGTCACGTGATATGTTTATTTCATCTCTATTTACACGTAATAAAACTTGTTAAAGCAGTATTATCTTATATTTAATAAATATCGAATTTCTTATAATCTTATATTCGAGTTGAAT